AAAATTTCTGATGAATTAGATTTTGAACAATTATCTAAACTTTTGGATCCAAATAGTGAAAAATATAAAATTATGCAATCTATTTTTCAAATGCAACAAAGGTTGAAAAAAGCAAAGGTTAATATACAATATTATTTTCATATTTTAAACTAATATATCATATAAATTTCGTTTTTTTTTATATTAAAATTCATTTAATTTATTTTTTTACGTTTTTTTTTTTTATATATCAGGAAAGTATAGCTAATCAAGCTTTAATCGCATCGCAAAAAATTGCAGCGGCAGAACAAGCACACGAAGCAGCTATTCAAGAAGCAGCTTATTATAAAAGTAAGATAGAAAATTTAATAAATAGTTTAGATCCAAAATATCGAACTACAGAAATGGAAAAAACTATGAAACTTGAAAAACAATTAACACAAGTTATAAAAGAAAATATTCAATTACAAAATCAATATGAAGAATATTATCAAAAATCATTTAATGAAAATTCATTTACAAATTTTGATGATAATTATTTAATAACTAAAAATTCTCAAAGTCCTATTTCAAAAAAATTAGCAGATCTAAGAACTCGTATAATTTCAACTGAAACTCAACTTGATGAAAGTAATTTACAATTAAAACAAGCTAGTGGTGAAATAACAAAATATCAACAAGATGCTGAAAATTCAAAGATGCGATTTACACAATTACATGAATCACTTGAACAACATTATACAGTATTTGAACAAATCAATAATGCAATTACAACAGCAAATGAAAGGACCAATGAATTAGAAAATTTATTAAGAAAAAGTAGAAAAGAGAAAGCTAAATTGGAAAATAAAGTAGCTTCATTAAAAATTGATTTAGAGATTAAAGAAGAAGAGTTAAATCAAGAAACTGATCGTTCTGATAAAATTGAAAGGTTATTAGAAAATGAACAAAAAGAAGGAAAGATCTTGAGATCCATGCTTCAAGAAAGTATGAAAGAATTGTTAAATATTTCTTTATGGAAATGATAAAAATATCAAGGTATAATATAATGTATTACCATGTAGATTTATTTGGGATCAAAGGGAACGTTTATTGTATATTATCTTTTATGTTTTTTTTTTTTTTTTTGTTAATCGTGTAGATTGTATGTTTAAAAAAAGGCAAAAATCTATACATATGTATGACATTTTGTATTATAGATATAGTTATTATTATATTCAATCCATATATCTAACTTTATATTATATATAGCGTTTTTTTATGTATTATCTATATTATTATTACTCTCTTGAATAAAAGAACACTTTATTCCATGATGTCTTTTTTTTCAATAACATACAATTACCTTCAGGCTGGTCTCGAATCGGTTTTTAGTATAATAAATGTTTTTGTAATTCTATTTTTTTTTTGTATACTGCTGAATAAGTACACAAACGTCCGAAATACAATTTTTTTTAATGTATAATTTTTTAATTATATTAAATAATAGGTGCGAATTTACGTATCTGGTATAAACATCGTATATATTAGTTTTCAGAATATTGAATCTATTTACGAATCATCTCAGAAGTCTAGGAAAATCGTATGCGATCTAGTGATGGGAAACGCGTGTGATCCGCGCGGGATACGTAGTGTAATACGAATGCTGCCATTATACCCGAAATATTCCGATAAGATTTGACGAACATTCCGCAATATTCCGAAACCAAGAAACTTAGTTGTTTGATTATCTATAACGCGAATCACGCGCGTGATGCGCAGACAGTCAAATATTATTTCGATAATTTTAAGATATTTCGAATAATTTTTACGATCATTTTTGCAAATTTTTTGACAAATTTCGATTATATTTCGTTCTTTTGTCGCATTAAAATTCAAATTGTGTCGAAATTCTTGTGCTGGGGATTGAAGTATAACTGCGACATCCCATTTTTATATTATTTTGTAAAAAAAAAAAGATTAATCTGATTCCGGAGGTTCATATTTTTTATTCTGTAAGCAATATAAGGTATTCGTCAAAAAAACAAAAAATACCAAAGTTACAAGAAATTTTTTTCGTGAAAAAAATTTATGATCGCATAATGATAGCGTGATGCTTTACAACCAATCAGAATATGAAATCAGGTGTAACATGATATTTGGTTTGCATTCTGATTGGTCAATTTTAAAAATCGGCAAAAAATCACCTTTATTTCGATAAATTTCGAAATCACCAAAAATTTCAGAAAATTTGGATAAAATTTTTTAAAAATTTTTGACGGTCCCTGATCATGCGCGGGATCTTTGAGAATCTGCGATTTGCCCATGAGATCTGTAGCTACAATTAGAATTACAGTATACGTTTATTTAAGGCACTCATTTATAGTAATTTATTGGCCCAAACGATAAGGATTCGCAGTACGTTTTACAAATTTTCAAAGCTACTATTTTTACAATTTAAAAAATCTGCATAATAAAAAATACAAATGGCTAATATGCATCAGTTAAATTAAAAAGTGAACTTGAATAATATTTAATATAATCATTCTCGTCTTTGTGACTTTTAACTTTTAAACACAGCCAATTGCGGCATTTC